CCAATAGGTAAACTTTGGCCCACTTTATGAAGTAATCGATGGCCATGAATATATATACAGGTGACCTTTTTCCAGCTCTGGGAGTGGATCAGCAATATCTAGATCTACTAAATTATTTTAAATTAATTTATTGAAGTATACCCTCTTTGGACTAACTTTCCCTCTCGACTGCATACATCAGACATCGTTCAAACTAATTCTGACGTCTTGGCTCAAAAATGGCCACAACAACTGCTGTTATGTCTTGCAAAGTTTGAATAATCTCATAACACAAAATGCGAGGGGCCACATGCTATAAAATAGGTTGAGAACCACTGCTTGGTGGTTGATAACAACAGTACAACACACCTTCCTGCACTCATAATTGCTCATTCAAATGGCATGGGTTATGTGTGTCCATGCTCCATTCATCAATTTGAGCCAGATATGATTTACCTTGCTGAATGGCAAGGAGTGCCCATGGCAGATCTGATTCCTTTGGTTGCTCTTCCCCTAACTCTCTTCGACATAAGACATAATAGAAAAGGTATCCCCTGGAGGGGTTGTTTATGAGACCAAAATAAGCAAACATTTCACCAAGACTTCTTTCATCTTTAGTGTTTCTAAGATGCAAACATTTGCAAAGAAAGCTATCATTCTTGATAATGTGCAACTAATACAAATAATGACAATACTTTAAATTTCATGGCATAATTAGGTTTTCACTTGATATACTATTAGATATGTGTGTGTTACATTTAATTAATAGTTATAATTATTGATTATTAATATTTAACAACAATTAAATCCGTTTTAATAAGAATCTTAACATCAGTAAATGTTTGCTGTGCCTTGATCTTTATTCATTAGCTAGTGTTGGAATTATCTTTTACTATTGATCAAATTATCCAAATAGAAATGTATCAATTAAACATCCTTATCAAAAAAATATATTTAATCCTTGCTAAGTATTAACTTAATGTTAATTAAAAATATAGCTCCTTGTCAGTTGCATTAAATTTATAATTTGTTACGTAAACTTCAATGAAAGTGGGTTTAATTGCTGTTACATGTTCATTGAATGTCAACAATAATTATTTAAATGTGACATACATATGTAATTGCATGTCAGTTGAATGTCTATGCCATAAAATTTAAAGTATTACTAAAATAACTGTTCTATTTTTTTGGCGCATATACTCCAGTAGACCGAGTGGAACTATAACAAAGTTAATGAATGTTTGTATTCTTGAATAGTTTTGGTTATTACATTGAAATAAATAGCTAATTATTTTTATTGGGCAATGTGTTGCCATATATGCCAACTTATATATATTTATACAGCAAACTCTATGTTTGAACACCAGCATAAAAGGTTTTAATTGTGTATCTGCAAACAAATGAAATATTGACTATACAATACATTCATGTATTCAGCTGCAGATTCAACATGCAACCAAATATTAGAACGTTATTGACATAAAACAAATACTTCTTCCATTGCAGCTCTTTCAGTATAAGCTCCATTAGCTTCCCAAAAGTGGAGGGTGCATTACACAGGCTGAAAAGCATAACAAAAACTTGTACAAGCCATTTTGCTTGCTAAAAGCAATTTTAAGTCAGCTCTCATCACTGAGATCCAATTGCCAGCATCCATATGTCAGGTGTAATGTAATGATTCATTGGATTTCTTCCAACTTGTCTAGACATTCATCTTTTTGTGGTAATGGAAAGGCACCAATTCAAGTTATCATTTTCACTTGTCTAAATCAATGCAGAACCTGGCTGCACTTTACTTTTTCTTGACAACCCCTTTTGGAGACAAGCAAGCACTCTTTAAAGATTGTATGGTTTCGTATTTTAACATTTACTGTATTCCAGCACTGGCCACATCCCTAGTGTTTTAGGGAAGCTTTTGTGGTTGTTGATTAATCAGACGTGCATCAGCTGTACCTATGTGATGATGTGTGACTATGGTTTGACACAGCTGGCCATCCAGTCTCTTAAAAATATCAGCTTATTTTAACAAAAAAGTCATTGAGCTAATGCCACTGTCTTGAGTCCAATTTGTCCAAACTGTCTTAAACTAGAGATCGCAGGTGTTTGTCATCCATATATATTTACTTTTGGATGTGGCACAACAGATGCAACCCTACTATTACTGCTAGCATCTGCTACTTCCACTTCACTTATAATGCTAATGACTATTCCTGTTTGTAGACGAATAACAGATCATTCATAATTGCAGAACAACTTTGGGACTTCATCTTCCTTAAGCAAATAACTGCATGAGCTAATACAACTTGCTTTCTGGACAGTAACTAGTTTATGTCATATGTGGAGTCTATAGCTTCAAAGTGCCTGATGTACTATAAGATCTACCAGTGTTTTGGTTGCTCTTCTATCAATCAGGAGTTCTATATCTCGCTCCTGTAATCTGATAGAAACATACCAATAACCATCCAGCCCTGACAGAGCTAGGCTGACAAACACATCTTTTGGTATAAGTTGTTCATTGCACTTCCCTAAATCCAACATAGGATGCTCTATTTCCAATAACTTCAACTGTATTATTCACTGCCTGCTCTTGACTCTTCTAAATTTGTTTTACTGCTGGTCAAACCAGTACCCTTGTTTAACTGGTTGCTTGGCAAAATTGGAAAAGTTCACAAAAATGACCCAATGCTCCTCCGACTTAGCACATACTTCACTCCTCCCTTCCATGACAACATCATGGCAGAGAATTGGTGTAATTGGTTAAGGTATATACATCATGGGGAGGATGGGTAACCCTACCCATTTTCTAAATGCTAGTGTGATTGTGTTGCAATGACAGGATTTGTAGATGGCTGGTTAACACTAAACTGGGTTCGAATTTGGAATGGTGTGGACTCCTAGGTAGGATAGTCTGTCTGCGGTAAAATCACTGTAGCTGCTGCCATAGGGTTTTTATTCTCTTGTGAACAGTTTGAAGTTACCACTTCATACCAAATTGTGACAGAAACTGCGTCAGCAAGGGCAAAATATCATTTACACCCAGATAATATTGTATGATCTCACTGGGCAGACCTTCCATGAACTTGCCAATGAGGATATCATCATTATATACTGAGGTAATTTCAAAGTAAGCCTTATCATGCCAATGGTACAAATAATTCATGCAACTCAGTAATAATTGTTTTGCAGTACAAAATTGCTTCTCATGTGAGTGTTTGATATAATCTAGGGGTTGATCATACAGGCTCAGAACCAAGTGTTGTATAACCTGTTCTGGAGTCCACTCATTCTAAGCAATTACTTAACTGAAACTATTGAAGATAAGTACAGGTCATTATTTTGTGTTCCTATAAATATTAGCAGAGTGACATGCTTTGCCACCTCACAGGGAACAGTGATCATAGCCAGATGTTCTCCTTTTCTGACTTCCCAGCTATCACCTGACAGAGATGCCCTCAACATCATTGGAACATAGTGATAGAGGCTATCAGGGACCCTGATACTCTTATGAGCTGTAGGCCCCTGATTTAGAGTGTCAGAAAAATGGGGTGCTCTTGGTAATTTGACCATCAGTTCTGCTCACTCCCTAGCTATTCTGTGGATCATTTCCACACCTAGCTCAGGGAGGCTCACCACTACCACATGACCCATTCGCTTTATCATTTTGTGCCCACCATCTACTTGTGAGATAGCTCTAATTAGCTTACATAATCCACCAATGACACCTCCAGTCGCTTTTTCATGTCCTTTAGTCGCTAAGAACAGAACTGAAGTTGAATTAATAAAGTTTGAAGACGATTTGAAATGGTAATAAATTTAACATAATAAGAAATGTAAAGCATTTCCACAAGTCAAAATATTGTACACTTGTTACTATGTTAAACTTGTAATAAAGTTTTCTTCTTTGCCTATTCAAGCCATCCTCAAACTTTATTGTCTCAAATTATCAGTTAGGTTAAATTACTCTGGTTGGCATGAGTCTAGGATTAGACCATTCACCCAATCTCAGAATCACCGAATGCCACATCACTGAGACAATCCCCAGTCCATGTTTCCCTCATGCCGAGTTGATCTTCAGGGAAAAGCATGTTCTGTTGTTCTGTGAGCACCAATAAATTGATATCTCTTCTTTCCAAATTTTGGTTGTAGTAAGGCTGAAGTTTAAAACAAAATGCACGGTCTTTGTTATACATAAAACACAAATAGAGTCTCTATACTTGTTTGAATGTTAATCATGATAGACATTCACTCTGCCTGGATCATTTTCAGACTAAACTCATTAAAGATGATGTTCCAGGAAGATAGACCAAATGTAGCATTTCTTAACATGAAAAGATACCTTTCATTCACCCAGAATGACCAGCGATCCATACGTGGCTGGTCATTCTCATTATGTTATAGGTGAAACCGTAACCTCTATATTTCATCTGAACAACTGTTGAAGGACAGTGTTGTCCTCCTTCTTGCACAACGTGGATATTGAGAAATATCCTTTTCGGGCGAAACAGGTATTATCCTCTTCGAGAACAATAAAGGAACAAAAGTAGTTTAGAATAATATCACCTTAGTGGCTTTTTTGTACCATGTATTATATTAAACCTGCACATGAGCTGAAGTAAGAATAAATTCCGAATAAATACTAAAATATTACAAGACGATAAAAACATGATATATTCAAATACTACGCAACTTAAACTAAACGTTATGACGATCATATACCAGAAACAAGTGATACGCAGCTATAAGTTGTTAGAAAATTGGGCGAAAATTTAAATTCCAAATTTATTTTGTCTGGTACATCAATATATCAATGAACTAAGAAATAAAGCAATTTTTTATTTAAACTAAAATTACACAATACAAATGATACATCTTCATGAATGAGATATATTTTTATACATTATGGTGTAAAGGAAATATAGTTTCCTTAAATTAAATGTTTTCATTTATCTATTTTTAATGTATGCGAGTATTATTATTTGGAGCTACATAAATATTCAAAAACGTATATACTATATTATTAGATGTCGCTCAAAATGACGGAGGGGCGATATTTGAAGAAAGAACAATTATCAGGATTTGAATACTACAAGGTAAGTACATTGTATTTTCAAACACTCTGTTAAATTAATCACGTTTTTTATTTTAAGTTTTTTGAATGAATAGGTAAATAAATTTTAACACCGAATTGTAATTGTTTCCATAAAAACCACCACTAGCGCTAGTGCCGTGGTGCACTTTTTTAATTTCATTTTTAATACTTTTTATGCCATGGTATTGACTATTGGTAACACTAACAATTACAATTCGATATTAAAATTTATTTAGTAGTACTAGTTACTACTAATACTAATAATATTAATAGTGTTAGTAATTAGTATTTACTACTAGTAGTAAACTAGCATTACTAATAGTAACACTAACTAATCGGGTTTCTTGCGCCATGAAATTTGAATTTAAATTACAAATTTACACTCAGAAGATTAAAATTACAAAACAAAATAAAGAAAAACATCTAGATTCTTATTTTGTTTCTAGTAGTAGTAGTTCTATTAGTACTGCTAATGTCAGTAATTGTTATGAAATTTATATGAATTGCGATGATCTACTGGTTCTACTAGTTCTATATACTAATTTACTATGGTTACGATCTGTAGACTTGACGCTATATTCAAAACATCGCACTCGTCATAACTAACAGTTAGGCCTATATTCTTGATGTTAATTGGACATACTAACATTTAATTTTAACATTGCCTTAACACTTAAATGGTTTATTTATACTTTATTATAGTAAAAAAAATTAAAATTTCAGTTCTGTATAAATTTTATGCGTGTGTAAAACAGAACATGGTCATTTACCTAAGACTACTGAAAATAGTAAAATTAAAATTGCATACATATGTTAAAAAAACTTAAAAGTTAAAGTATAATCACCTTGCTTTAAAAATATAACTGTCTTAACTGGAGCATAGCCTTTCATTTCTGTTCCACATCTTAAACTTGTGACCTGTTCTTCCTTTATTTACAGCTCAAAGAAATCAGATGCCTTTATTATAATGATCCTCTTGATAAACTTCAATAAGATTTCCCCCTTTATTTTTCTCATAAGAAAATAGTTTAAAGTTCCAACTAACTCTTTAATAAATTATGATTTGTGAGTTCTTGTTGCCCACATTATATAGTTTAAAGATTCAATTAATATGTATCACATTCTCGATAATTAAATTTTTGATCTTAAATTAATGAATTTTATTTACACAAAACTATACAGTCTTGTTTCTGGAATATTATAATATTATATTTTTAAATATTGGAGAAGATCTTGCCTAATCAAGGATATAGGATCTGTGTTCTTATTCACACACATTAATGGGAATAATTATTAACACAAATGTTAGTGTATGATTGATGTCCCAAGTAAAGTTTACTTATTTACATGCATTTTTTACTGTACACGACCAACTTTTGGCACACCATTAATAACCTTCATGCTGTCTATTGCACAGCAGCATGTAAACTGTTGTCATCAAGTACAGTTGTGCCTGCTTTTCAAGGCCTCAGTATAGTCAGTGTAGGGCATTCTCACTTTACAGCTCACTACTACATATACAACCATTTATCTTGACATAGAGTATGGTAACCTAGCATTTGACCATTTTATTGTAAATACCAATAGCAGTTAGTAGTGGTTTAGAATTTTGTTCAAATTTCTAAAGAAGTGGACACATTTAAAACTATGTATTACAGGAGTCATTTTTTTTTACCTGTCAGCTTTTGGACTTGGCTGACTCTTGAGATTTTTTCCCAACAAAAATAATACACTGCTAATTCATACCTTCAAACAATCACCTTAAAATGTTCATTAATACTAAAGAACTTTATTATTACTGAAATGATAAAAACTTTTATTTATTATTCATAAACAATTTGAATAAGAAGGCAGGTATGCATAAGTTAAAAAACATTTATTCTAACTAACAAGAAAGTTTGTAATTAATTACACCTAATGTTTATGTGAATGAGTCTTGTTCTGCAAAACGTAAAAAGAAAAATGATGAATGATAATATAGAATAAATTGACATGTCTAAATGAAAACTTTTTCTACTATAATTTGTGTGACGTTTTTGATAATTCCAATGTAACACAGTATTTACTGCCTGATGAAAGGCATCTGCAAGTTGTACATGGAGTTGTACATATTAATGTAGTGGGAAGTTAAAAAAAAGATAATAAACAAAAATGTGTTAAATGCAAGAAAACACATGGATACTGCACTCGCTGCAGGAATGGCTACCTTATGCAGAGATATTATACAAGACATTGAATATTCAATAAGCAAAGTAATTCTCAGAGGCTCTGGATCAAATTGGTGGGTTTTCAGATGTAACAATTTCAAGCTATCAATTTTCAAAATATTGTCATTATTTTTAATTATCAAAAATCTTCATGTTTTCATTTTAGTAATAATTGGAAATCATGACCCTACTATGATAGCACAAAATACAATAATAATGTGTTAACTCTATTATAATTTGAAATATGTCACATAATTTTGTTCTAGTCAGCTACTCATTTTATGCTGCGTTTGTGTTTTAGATTTTATGCATAACAAATTTCAACAGATAGAGCAATAACTTGAACTGTGTATTGAAAATCCTTCTGGATTTGCTACATTTAAGATATTTCTAAACTTCTTACACCATAAATCTTCACATAATGATTTTAGGGTTTTGATTTTCCAAATGTAACTGAAATCAAAATATTGAAAGTTATATCTTTTCAAGATACGTGGTTTTGAACAAGCTTGAAGTTACTGAAAGGTTACTTGTCTGTTGATTTCTAATTTGATTCTTTCAATTATCAGTGTAAACATTTATGTATGTAGATTATATTGTTATCTGTTAACTCTCACTTCTGTGAGCACGTCTCTTAAGGCACTGCTACAAGAGTTTGGAATTATGTACCACTATGAGGAAAGAATGTTTGTTCCCCTTTAAACTTCTCAGTATTTACCAGTTTGAAATTTGAGATTAGTAATGGAATATTCCGTTTTTTAAATTTTATTATTGTGTATTTAAAATAAACCTATACTGGGAAAGCTATTTATCTATAAACACGGCAGTGAAAGAGTTAAACAGTAAGTGAATAACATTTATCTTATACAAGTACATTAAAAATACATTTTAATTTGATATAAACTAATATATCTATTATTTAAGTTCTGGTTTTAATTATGACACATAAAGGCTATTAATTGATTTTAGAAATGTTTTTCAACAAAAGAAGAACTCTATGGACTAAAATATATTTCCATCTTTTAGTACAATTCAGTGGATACTAGTCCTGTCAGCAACTATGTTATGCATCCATTTTGGAATTGGATTGTTAAGGTATGTAATAGACAAAATATTTTAATGATTATCTTGTTTATAAAATCCAAATCATTTTAATGTATTAATGTTATATACTCATCGAAATAAAACTGGATGACTCATAAACAGCAAATTAGAATAGTGGAGTTCACATTACCTTCATTGTATAGGCTTGTAGCCAATCATTTTCAGAGTTAATTACCGAGACTGAAATCTTGCAAAATCTATGTAATGGATTTCCAAGTAAAGGTGAGTGATAAAAAAGTTAAAGAATTTTGTTGGTTGTTTCATCAAAGACCAACCCACATGTATGTAAATCCAGTTTATTATATAGTAAAAATTTAGATATCAGTGTTTAGTGTGCACTTCATAATTATTCAAATAGTTATAAATTTGAAGATCTACATATCCTACTGTCCTGGAGATGTGGTTCTTCATTATACATTTGTACATTCCTAGTTAAGTAGCCTCATGACTGTAATTAAAGGAATGTGGAGTATGTTGTGTATCTTCCATAAAATTTGTGCAGTTAAATTGTCCTGTATTTTTTTTTTTATAGTGTTTCAAAACTATAAGTACTTAATACCTCATATTGCATGCTTGTCTTACATATTTCACTCTTTCTTGTAGCTCGTTCCACTTTGGGTAGCTCCTAATGTGCTAACATTTGTTGGGTTTTTGTTGACGGTTTTTAATGCCCTGTTGTTGGCCTTTTATGACTACCGTTTTCGTGCCTCAAGTGATGATTATCCAGACTTTGCTCCTATTCCCTCCTGGGTATGGATTGTGTGTGCAATAAACCAATTTCTTGCTTATACTTTAGGTGAGTACTCAAGTTGTGTTTTTGTTTCCACTTGGATTTAGTTTATGCATGTATTAAACCATTTACTTGTTCAGAATTTACTTGAGTACTCGGATTGTTTTTTGTTCCAATCTGAGTACATATTGCAACTGTAATAAACAAGTTCCTAGTACAAAACTGCAGTTGACAACTCATCTGGGTTTAGTTCCTGCATCTAACAAAGTTATTTTTCTGAAATGATTCACACCTTTGCATACAGATAAGCTATCTTCCCCGTGCATCTGCTTTAGAGATTTGCATGAACTAGCCTTTAGGCAACTCCCATGTAAACTCACAAGCTTTCTCATGACTTGTGTTACTGCATAATGATGTTATTATACAGCAAAAGTCCTGTTGGGGGGGGGGGGCTGACCCATTGGGTTCAGATCAACTATAAAATACCCAATTTTCACATCTTTGCCTGATCCTTTTGTGCTTCATTTCCTTTTTTCCTTTCACCTCATTCCTCTGGCTTTTCTACAATGCTCATTCAACCACTTCTACCCTCTCCCTACTCACTTGGCTCATTTGTTGTTGGGCCTTGTTGGATAGGGACACACTCCTTTCCCAGGTTTTCTTTTTCCTACCTAAGGGATCTTTGCCTCGCTGATGGTAGTCAGGCATTTCTCTGGGTCTCCCCACCACAAATCCCCCCCCCTCTTCTCTTCAAGGGGATCATGCAAGACAAGAACCTTGCCACTTTCTAGTTCCTAGCCTCTGAGGTGGATCATGGAGAATCCTCACCGATTGGGACCTAACTGCTGGGGCTAGAACAAGGGATACCAATCAGTAGGAGGGGAAATGGTGGTGACACTGTCAGTATAGTGTAGGTCACCTTCATACACTTAACATTTCACAGTTCAGTTGAGAGATTCACATCACACTATGTGGTCTGGTGATGGGTTAGAGTTGGACCAGCCTTCAGAAATCTGAATGCATGTGGTCCTCATCCTACCACCAACCTGGATGATAAATTCCCACTGCCACCAAGTTTTGGATTAGAGTGAACTTACTGTCACCCTATTGTTGGGTTGCTTGGGTGGCCTGGTTTTGGTTGTGTACTAGGTCTGTACACAAATGTCCTGACTTCTTTTTAAGTACCAGCATAAATTGCCCTCCTCCCACAGCTGGTGTCGGTCCAAGAGTTTGTGGTAGAGTTGAGTGGAGTGATTTACACTTAACACATTCAAATCTCTGTGGCATAAATTCTGTATCCTCCTCCCATAGCCGGTGTTGGTCCAAGAGTCTGATTGTAAGGTAGAGGTGTGCACAAGGTACGGTCTGAATCTGCCCCAACCATACTATATGTATTGGTTCTCCGACCTCGTGTACAAGAACTCGGACAGCCATGTTCCTTTTCTGCCCATACCTGTCACACAAGGATTTTGTTTGCCTCTTCCTTCCTTTCAAGTTGAGCAATGTACCCTGGTAGAGATGAAATGCAGTCTACCATGGATATGCCTCAATGGAGCCTCTGCCATCAGGTGCCACACTCCATTGGTTTCTTTCAGGCAATATCTGAAGGGAACTCGTATAGCTTAACCTTTTGCACTGGTCCCTCCTCCATTTCAGTGTTTCAGAAGTTAACATTTTCCTTACCTGAAAATGTATTTCTGATAGATATCTCCTCACACACTTCTCATCCTTCCTCCTCACTTCCGGGGCACCTTACTAACACTTGCGTCATCAAGAATAAAGTTTCATGAGTGCAACAGTATATATAGAGGGAGCTAGTGCACTGGAAGGACCATGGAGTGCTTTTGTTGCATAATAACCTCATTATGCAGTAGTGCAAATTGCAAAAAATTTTGTGAGTTTAGGTGGATGTTGCCTAAAGGCTAGGTGCATGAAAATCTCTAAGGCAGATGCACAGGAAGATAGCTTATCTGTGTGAAGAGGTGAGTATCCATCAGAAATACATTTTCATCTAAGGAAAATATAAATGCTTATGAGTAATTAAAACTGTATTTTTTGTTGTTGTTTCATCCTTAACAAAATATTTCTATATATACAGTACATTTGTGCCAAAGTATACATTTGTAGCACTTTGTATGTGGGTGAAGTTGAGACTTGAGTGTGGCACTGATTTGGAACTGCAGTAGATAATACATGACACTGCATACAGTATGCTAGGAGCAAAACAATACTTATATAAATTTTCTTTGTGTTTTTGTCAGTCTATTTAGTTTCAGCTATCAAGACAGTTTCTCATGTTTGCAGATATTGCCTGGCCAAAAAATAGTGACTAAATATAATGTTAATCAACACATAACTTGTTTTTTGGGTAACATATTGACAAGTATCCTTGAAAGGCAAGCTTTGTACTAGAAATGAAGAAGGTGGATTCACTATTTGGACCTTAAGTAATTAGTATTTCTTAACTTAATACTACAAATATTACTACTGTTTAATAATGCTTGGGATGGCTTGAATGGGTAATGAAGAAAAACTTTAATGTAAGTTTAACATAACAGCAAATGTACAACATTTTGACAAGGTTTTGTCATCATCAGGTACCTGTTTTTTATTTCATCCTCTTTGCTCTAGTTTTGCTTTGATGATGGCTTTAATAACATCTACTATCAAGTCTTGATCACCTTTTCTTCAACTTTTTTGTTGACCAGAGTAATAATAATTTTGACTCATCTGTCTTTGATGTCTTTTGTATACTGCTATGGAATGCTGCTTGTGGTGCTTAGCATAATAACTTATTTTCACATTTGAAACATTTTACAAATATTTAGTTAAAATTAATATGTAATAATTTTGATATATCTCACCTTTATGCACAAAGTTTTGCTCACCACTAGCCTTGCAACTCCCACGTGGTTCAGCTGCATTGTAACATGCAAATAAGAATGTGACAACCCTCCACTAATAGGAGCATGACACTCTTCTGTCACAACTGGCTCTGTCTACACTATAGAACCTAATTTCCACTTCTTGATTTGGCACAGTAGTGTTAAGAATCAGTTAAAAAAATTTTAATTTGAGTTTAGCTTTTTTTGTGCTGTTTATTAAACAACTTTAGTTGTTTTTTTCTTTATTTCATACACTTATAAACTAACTGTAGTTGATTAATTTTTTGAATTTCACTCCAGTTGAACATCAGTTCTGAATTTCATATCACTACCACTACTTCTGTAGCAACAAATATTACAGCATTTTAACCTGCTGTGTTTCAGGCTGCAGGCCCTACACTTTCAGCTGAGGAGGTATCAGTTTTTGATGAGTTAATCATGTGTCTAGCTGTATCTCTTGAGCTCAGACCTGACATCCTTTTTCTCTGGTGAATCTGGGCAAAATTAAGACAATTTGATTAGCCTTTTCTCACATCTCCCTTCCTTGACCGTGCAAACCTGAATTCCACCTGTGGATGCTTCCAGGCCATCCTCAGCCTTCCTGGATATGGTGTCACAAGTATGTTTCCTTTTATGTGTATTCCCTGTTTCATCTGATTCCTCTCCTTCCCTTCTGCATTTGGTCACTTTTTTTTATTCCTTCTTCAGATATCAGGGTCTGTGCTGATTTATTTCTGACACAATTGCATTCAGGTGAGGGAGGCAGTGTGCCTCAGGCTTTGGATAACTATGCTTTGGCATATCTTCATACCTTGTTTCTGTATTTAGACTCCAAGCAGTTGGAGTCACTTATACATGAATGGGGTCTAACACTGATACTTCTGTGAGGGTTTTTCATGCCCAATTGTCCAACTTCCATTTGACCCTTACCACACTCCTCAGTTACCTATCTTTCAATAACTTCCTTTCCATGATTATCCACTGCTCCCTTGCAGTGTTGTTGGAGGATACTTGTTTCCTTATGTTTTCCATGTTAGCGTGTTTATCATCCTCAGTTTTACTCTTCAAACATGGGATCTCTTGGGTAAGGACATATTATTAGCCAATTGATGGACTCTGTCATGAATAAAGCAGAAGGGGATTGCTGCCCATCACTCTGATCCTAGATTGAATAAATCAGAACTATCTTGCTTTTACAAAAAGAGTTTTGTGGTGACCCATTGCACTGTCTCCAGTGTTGCATTCCTCCAGACTCTCTACTACATTGTTCCCCCTCCTTTTACAATTGGAGTAAGGGATTCCTTACCACTTACCACCTCCTAGCTGTTGGGGTGGTGTACCATGGAGGCTTCATCCTAAATGTGCTCAATCCCATTCAGTTAAGAGTAGGGTGGTGGTGTCCTTTCATTGTACATGGTGTAAAACCCTCCTATGTCATAGAATGTAGATGTTCCACCAAAATACAGTTTTCCCCTCAAGCTGGGGAACCCCATCCTACCATTTCCTGGAGGTCTGATTTTGGAAAGGGGTTGAACCAACCACCAAAACACAGCTGTCTGGTTTTGTATTTGAGTGAAGTACCATGTTGCACTTCCCCTTTCTGATGTTGGTTGTAGATCTGCACACATGTGCCCTGGCTAGGATGGCAGATCATAACTCATTTCCCTTCTACTTCCTTGTCTTGAGGTAAAAATGATTGGGACCCTTTTCCTACCACATACTGGACGATAAATACACAATGCTCCTGGTTTTGGATTGGAGTTGACCCACAGATTATGGCCTGATGTGCCCTTGCCACTTTACACCATAGGACACATTCATCTATACATTAAACATACTAATCAGCTGGGAACCCCCATCCTACCATCTCCTACTGGGTGGTTACTAGGAGATCTGGTTTTGGAAAGGAGCTGGACCAGCCAATAAATATAATGGTTGGCTGGAGAATTCCCATCGTACCATTTCATGGAAGTTGGCTTCCAGGAAGGTTGGATTTGGAAAGAAGCTAGACCAGCCAATATAACTTCAATCATGGATGTGTTTCTTTTCTCTGCCCAATTTAGCAATACATACTTCCATGACGGGTGTAAAGTATATCTGGTTCAGATGTGGTGCGGTTTCCCATGAGTGTATTCATCTAACAAGAGACGTGATACCCCATTAGCATTCTTTGGATGCTTTCTAAAAGGTGCTAATCTAGGTAAATTTTGAACCGGTCGCTCCATCATGTCAGTGTAGGATTCTAGCTATTATGTGAGTAGAGGAAAGATATCCTGCCGGAAGTTAATATTTTCCAACACTAAAAATATATTTTTGGTAGTAACTTAACTCTACACATACTTAATATCCATCCTCCCCACTTCTGATGCTTTTTTTTTTACCTAATCTCAATGGGAAGATTGGGTTCTACGATATAGAGGGAGTCAGTTGTGACAGGAGAGTCTGTCACGTTCCTATTGGTGGAGAGTTGTCACATACTTATTTGCATGCTACAACGCAGCTGAACCACACTTAAATGTGTGAGTGTCAAGGGTAGAGGTGAGCAAAAAAGTTTGTATATATAGAGGGTAGCACTGAATGAGAAAAGCTATTATGTCAGCAGAGGTAAGTATCTATTGGAAATATATTTTCAGCATAGGAAAATAATAACTTTCACCACTTTGTAGAAAATATGTTCAATCTCACATTTCCAGTATTATTTGCATGTTGTTTACAGTACTTGTTCATTCTTAGAGATGTTAATCTTCCCACTTTTTAATTTCAGATTATGGATTGTGGTAATAGTCTTTAAATTAGGATTTTTTATATATGTTTCACAGGTTTGTTATAACATGATCTGGTAAATTTGTCAGGCAATGTAAAATAAAACACCACCACCATCAAGATTTCTAGTCATTTAACTGTTTATGCTTGGACAGCTGTACTCAAAACAGACTCAGATACTTTCATAACACTGAATAAAATATCTTGACCAATCAAGAATCATATTGATAGCTGTTCTACTCAGAAGTTGGGACAGCCATATTAGTTTCATCAGAAAGATTTCAAAATGAAAGTCATTTTGCCAATCATGTAATAACTTCCATCAGAAGAGCTGCTAAAATTATAGGATAAGAATTGCAATTAATAGTATATAGTCTTTGTTATGAGCTACTGAAACTTTTTATAACTAGTCAGTCCTAGGTCATCATTTAAGTACCCTCACTACTAATGGCATTTTTGACCCTAACACATGAACAACTGATGAGGTTGGGTATGTTTAGCAAAATTACCAAACTCAGTGATGATAAAATTATTCTGAATTATTCCAGAAATCAGGATTTGGAATTTGAAGTGTCAGAGGAACATTTTTGAGATCTACCTAAATTTGATTTTTTGGGGAAGGAGGGGTGATTGTTTGTTACTGATGCAAAGCAACTGGCTATGAACCAATATGAGTATGAATGTCTGTTGTTGTGGAATACTTTGGATTTCTTCTGCATGCCATATATTGATTGAAAGAAACGAAAGACACCAAAAGAACCCATTTTAACATCCTATGATGTAACAAAGATTTTGATTGGCTGGTTCAGATGACGTGACCAATCAAAAACACTGTAGGAACTTAAATTTTCTTGTGTAAATGTACTTTGAAAACTTACAAAATGTAAACATTTTGAAAAGTTAACTATGATGCTTTTTAAGCTTTGATAGCTTCAACAACCTAAGATACATCTGTTCATCCATTATAAGCATTACTTATGTGATCGGAAGGAAGCTTTTTTTTAAATAAACCTGACACAATTAGGGCAGGCATGTTTTGCTTTCATCAGAAAACAAATATAACCAAAAATCTTACAAACAGTGGCATTTAAATTGTTTCCAGAGGGTCTGAAATTGCTAAAATCACTGTGTGGTGGAGGCTTTGCCCCACTTGTCCCCACACAGGGATTCTGCCTCTTGATCTTGTTGGGAGCCTGCAGCCCCCAGACCCTTCAATTAATTCTGTTATCACCTCTGCAAGCTATGAAGCAGAATTTTCACACGTAAAGCTTCATGTAACATTACTATCACATCTGGCCAATGTAGCTATACAGGAAAGAGTTCCATATTAGGTCACAATAAAGAAATAGATAAAAATGTTTACAGGTGAACTTATCACATGAACAACACCCAGAAAGAAAAGTAGAAGTGAGAATAGACAAAAAGCAACTACAGTCATTCAATATAATAAGAAATTCTACCGACCTCATAGCAACAGTATGTAAAAGTCTGTAATAATCAAGACATGTTTTGACTTGACTTGGTTTTCATTGTATTTAAGTTTTAGGCTCATAGTTACACTACAATGATACTTACCCTGACATGACCATTATATGATGATAAACAAACTGCATACCAACAGTCAGGAATATACAACTTCAAACTGCAGTTATATTAAAATCAAGTATGCATTTCACAGTGTAATGTTAGAATTTAATATTGAAAGTCTTGTTGGGATGATCTATGTATTGCTGTATCATCCCTATATGTTTGTTTGCATTCTTTTTGGCACTGTCATCCCTACATAATTTTACATTTACAAAATGTTTTTCGCTACTTGTTTTTTGACATTTTTTTTCCCCTGACAGAAAGTTAGTGTATTCTATGAATGTGTGTAATAAAATTTAATATTATGTGTATTGATTATTTTTTACTCCTTCACTTCATACATAATATAGGGGTTGGCTCCCTACAGACACTGATTGCATAGTGCACAAAACATTTAGTATTCTGCATGTTACAATCATATAATGTTCATCCTTCATTGACTGATAATTCATGTTTCACCCTGTACTTAAGCATTTTAAAGGAACTCCATATTTTTGTATAAAAAGCTAGCTTCAAGGGGTAATGATAATGTCATTTACACTAGAATTATGATTTTTTTAAAATTACTAGTTATTATGACTAAGCAATGACATCATGCACTGCCTAGAAACACATAGAGTGGATTTAGGTTTAAACTGATGTTAGTGATAAAGTAGTTGTAGAGTTATCTCAACTGAAACAAGATGAAAAAAGATAAAGTGATTTCTGGTTTGGTATCTTAGCAATGGTTTCTTTAACAAGGATGTTTTTAGGCATTTTCGGTAGACACACAAGTGAAAGTGAGTGGCAATCATCTTCTTAACTTTGTCAGTGTTGATTTTTAACATGCATATTTGTATTGTACTTATTAAGTATCTTGGCCATTGCTACATATATAGTCTACAGACTCTGTGATATATATATATATATATATGTAGACACACACACACACCTATATATGTACAGAACTTTAAAGAGTGTAAGATTAGCTCTTAGCTCCTAGGCATACTTAAATTTTAAACAGTGAAATTATAGGTTAATAATAGTTTTTTTTTGGTAAAACTAACATTGGTTTGTAATTTTCACAGCACCTTAAAAATTGTTTGGAAAAGAAGTATGTATACACTTTATGGCCATTTTCAGATGGAATTGATGGGAAACATGCCAGAAGAACTAACTCCACTGGACCACTTGGGGAACTCATGGACCATGGGATAGATAGTTGGTCCTCCCTCTTCATGCCAATGTGCCTGTATTCAGTATTTGGTTGTGGAGAATATAGCTGCAGACCTTTGCGTGTCTTCTTCATTTTGTGGAATATTCACATATGTTTTGTTCTGTCACACTGGGAGAAATACAACACAGGAATCTTGTATCTACCATGGAATTATGACATCTCACAATTTGTAAGAGTTGTTTTTTTCTCTACTAATAGGCTAATATTATGTCTGTGTTATATGTACTTTTTTTCCCTCCCTTTGTCATCTAAAGATTTTTTCCATGTTTTCAAAGCATATGCTTTAATAGTAAATGACTCAGAATTAACTGTTACCAGATGGCAAAAACTGTTGTGTTCTAGTGTTTAACCATTGACTCATCAATAGGCACTTTTTTTTTTCAAAACAACAGTCAACATTATAAAAATAAACTGGCTGCAAGCACAACATTTATGGGGAAAATCACATTATGATAATCAAGCAATGAGCCTTTTCCAGTAGCTTGTTAAACACCATTCTTGCACATTTTCAGTGGAACTCCCAAAGTTTAAACTAACAAGTATAAAGAGTGCATTCAAGTAGTGTTCCAGTTTTTTATATTAAGAAATGTAATTATTACATTAACACAAACATAGTTTTAAAATGTAATAGTACTGTAAAAAATATAAAATCAAAAGCACAGCACTTTACGTCAGCTTACTATTTATGTCTACTAAATTCATATATCTCCTAACGTTTGTCTTTCAGTGTGGCTGATACATTAATTTACTAATGTATCAGTTTCAAGCTCTGATAAAGCTCGTCTTATTTTACACATTGTGAATAACTTTAAATGACCTTTTTTTAACTATTGTACAAAATTATTTGCCTTTGTTGCAAAGTGGTTACAGAGTTAAATTTGTGGACTTAAAAACAACTGTTGCTATATATTATAAATTAAAAATTTTTTTCCTACATTACACCTTTTAGATTAGCATTTCTAGAAGTTCTTTTGTAGAATGTCTAGTGTACCTACTCTGAAAGTCCATTACAGCTGTTGCCTATAAATGTGCAGTGTTAAATATGAAAGTTCTTCAACATTTTTAATGAAGTGAACAGTATACAAGTGTTTTTAATTTTTATAGATGTTAGTAGTGGCTTATTTGATTGCGTACTTCAAATCCTACAAATTTTGGAAATTCATGGTGCCTGTTTTAAATGTCACTAGTGGACAGGTAGTGGAGGTTTTTCTTCATGGTAAGTTCAGATGTGCAGTGTAAAAATAGTTTATATAGTAAGGCTATAGTAATTATAAAGATTTCAAGTCTGTCATTGTAGATATTTTTATGGTAATTAGTAAGTATAAAAATGTAAAGTGTAGCACTACTGTAGATATTTCTGGAGTAAGTGTAAAGATGTAGGACTAATGTAGACATATGGTTAGTGTAAAAATGTAGTATACAGAACTACAGTAGTGTAGAAATGTAGAGTAGAGGTAGTGAAGATTTTTCTCAGTAGACTATTTGAATATATCTTTTTGATAAAATGAGTCGTAGTGGAGACACTATATTGTAAGGTTTGTAAAATGTTGGCCATAATGAACCTGTAGGAGAAAGTTTTATGAATATTTAGGGAATACTTACATGCTAAAACAAATGTTTGGGTAAGTTTATATTTTCAAAAAGAGACTACTTAAATAATTATAAGACATGCCTCTTACCTTAGCTTTTAAGTTGGAACAGTAAAATGTTATCAAAACATCTGCTACTTGTTTGTTGTTTTTACTCTTGTTTTAAATATATATCTTATACTTATAAAACTTGTTGATTGTGGCATAATTGCTAAATTTAAAGAACGATTTAATTCTTTCAACCCAGGCTCGGTTCCTGGGACCAACCTCGTAACCATTTTGTGCTTGTTATAGTTTTCATGCTATAACTTTTAAGTTATTGAGCGAATGTTAACCAGATTTGGCAGTTTATCAGTAAACATTGCAATGATTTCATACACAAATTTTTTTTATTAAGTCATAAAGTTTGTAAAGCAATGTTTCTCTCATGCCTTTTTTTTTTTTTCTTTTCACATCTTGCCTATCTATCATGCAAAGTAATTTTCATTTTAAGATTAAAAATACTTTTATGTATCAGAAAATTTTGAAATTTCACGTGTGATATCTTTATAATGTCCGGATAGTTATCAAACATTTCTTAATAAAAAAACTTTATATTTAATATGTTATTTTCAGTAATTAATCTCTGCATAGGTTCAGTAAATTTGACTGATCTCACAACCACAATAAAAAATTAGAAAATAAACATAAATTATGCCTCTTTCATTCTAGAATGAACACAAATAATAACACAAAAACATAAATATTTAGATGAAATAGCTTAAATCTCATAACATTATACGTTTACATATATTTATTATTTGTATTATATTGACCTTTCACCTGTGCCTGGCTAACAATACAGAAGTTACAATGATACAGCTCATGTGCACTCATATTACCGTATCAAATAACATAAAGGTGACCTTTGGTCTGTACAAAGTAACTTGTCTTGGCTGTGTTTTATGCATTATATATGTATATAGATTATTGCTATTTTGAAATAAGTTCTTAAAGTTATTTTTCCTAAAACATAGAACAGTCAATAAAGAAGTAAAGCAAACAATTACCTCGTCTAGTTACGACCTTTGTACTTGGTTACTGCTTGATGTAGGTTGCTAAGTCTTTAAAAATTTTGCACGCATAGGATACGAAACAAAATATTTGTTTAGATTTTATATATACTTTTGAGGAACTAAAAAATCATAAATTATTACATCAATGGCATAGAATTCTACTATAACTTATCAAACTTAGTAACTAAGCTGTATTTGAGTTTAAAAAAAATATGAAATGTTGAGCAGACAAAAGACACAACCTGCTTCATTGAAATCTTGGTTTAAAACAAAGGAATGGTGCTAGGTACATTAAAAAGGCTCAGAAAACCACTAGGGGACATTCTGAGTTTCAGATTGGTTATTCATGTTATATATAGAAGTAAGTGTATATAAGGGAGTGTTTCCAAAAATCGAAGGAGGTGAGCAGTGTGCCACTATGTTTGATTTATTACGTGAGCAATATCTTAGCAAATAGAAAACATAAGACCTTATTTTATATTCTAGCTTGTCAATATCTGTAACTTGAGTTTATAATTATTATGAAACTACAGACTTAGTATTTTGACTTCACAAACATCTAATTTGAACTACTGCTGCATTCAACATACCACGAGACACACAAAAATTGATATTTATCTGTGATTTTTAATATTTACTTTTAAATTAACAAATTGATGAATGTATAGTTTTAAAATTTGAATTATAATCTACACTTTGATACCAAATTTATTGACATAAATTCATGAAATAGTAGTTCAATAAAATTTTGAACGCAAGTCAACAAACGAGATGACATGGCCTTTCACTTGTGACTCGTCTCGAAAGGGTTAACTAGCATTGTTGTTGAATTGCAATTTGAGTAATACCAAACATAGTACAACCAGTTTATCTGAGTTTGATTAGGTTTGTGCTAGTACACTGACCTATCCAAAGTGTGTGAACAGCAAGTTATAGAGGGACTTAGTAATTAGTCTACCAATATAATATAGCAACACCTTTGACATAAGTAATTGCTGCTATTCTGCAGGGCATCCTTTCAATGTGGTTCAAGCAATTTGTCTTCATTCTCACACCAGAACTTTACCCATTTGTCTGACCTTCAGGTTAGCTGAAGATGATGGTTTCAAAAATGTTTTATAACATAAACTTTGGCAATATAACTACAATACTTTAAAATGTGAATAAGTCAAGGAATTTGAAAATTGGGTCAAAAAGTAAGGGTAAAATTAAAAGATTTTCACAAAACATGGAATGTTTAGAGACAATTTGTGAATCTCCATTTTTTAAAGTTTCTTTATCTCATAACCTGTACATGTACACAAACCACGTTGTTTAGTTAAGACAGTTATTAGCTTATTTTAACATAATCTCGGTCACTCACTCTATGTTATTGTAGTATTGTCACATGTGGATTGAAAGAGGCAAGATAGAGTGTCGAAGTCAGGGTAAAATCAAACACTTTATATTGCAGAGGAAAATTAATTGAAGAATATAGGTAGTCATCAAAGTGGTAAGACTATTGAAAATAAGAAGATAAAATGTAAAGGTAAATAAAGGAAGTAAATTGTATTGAATTAAGAATGATTTTACAATCACCATAAGTCATGAACACTGACAGTACTTCACTAGCATGTCTTGAAGCTTTCAAGTTCAATACCAAATCTTCTCTCCTCTGTGGTACAAAAAATGAGATGTAAAAACTGTCAAAACTTCATTCACAAAGTACCTTCTCTCTGTACCTGACCAATCAGAAAAGCATCTAAATGTAGAAATGTCTCTGTTATGTGTGGTAGTCACATAACAGTCCTCCATATAAAAAATAAACAAGATACATTGCAACAGTAGATAAATTCCTTTATTGGACTAGGTACAGAAAGTATCATCTCAAGCTGAATTTAGCACATAATCTCAACTAGATTTATTCAGTTCCTGATTATCCCTTTTGCTATGGGTAGGTGAAAGTGTGCGTGTCAGGGCTTTTTAGAGAGTTACATTCAAAATTTAATTAAACTATTATTATTGTATACAAATAAACATGGCATCAAAAACAAAATTTGATATTATGTGATTTTATAAGAAAATATTTTTAAGAATCTTCAACCTTCCCTAATATAAGAATTGTGACATTTGCCATGACAAATTGAAAGTAGTTCATCTTGTACTATATTATTTATAACCAATAGAAAACCAAAGTTTTAATCTATTAAATTATGTATTATATTACATTGTTTTCAGTACAGAGTATTCTCTATTTCATCCTTAGTTTGAAAGTTTCTCTCATGGTGGTCATATTGGCAAGCTTAAGGTAAGATTTAAAGGCTCTTATGCCATATTTAGAAAGCCAGATAAATTATGATAGTTTTAGGACATCATTTGTTTTGTGTGTGTTATTATTTTATGTTCTAAGGTGTATTATTTAATTAAATAAAAATTATTTAATGTACTAGTACCATTAGTATTAAAAACATAGGCTGAAATTTCCTCAGCAACTGACAGCAAAAAACAAGAGATCACAGGTAGGTGATATATTGCATGATTTTCATATGTAATGTTTATTTATTGTTATGAAAGTAGCTAAAATATAAAAATTAGAAAGTTGTTATATTAAAAAAGATAATGAAAAATAATTATATTAATAAAAAATTTTCATTGGTATGCTTGCAAGCAAGTCGTGCATTATGTCATTCAATACGGTAACATGAGTTACACATTCATTGAGTGATTTACAACTTGTATGGTGGGATTATTAGTTAGATATGGGTCAAAGCTTTTAGTATTAACAATTGTAGTATCCAGTTACAATTTGCAGTCATTCTAGAAAGAAAAAAGGGTAATTTTAATTTATTTCATATTGTTACGACAGCAGAAGTCACGAGGCGCTGTTAACACGTGATGAATTTCTCGAATGATCGCGAATTATCGAGGAAGATTGAGTTTCTTCAGGATGCCCTCTTTTTTTGGTATAAAGCATGGCGAGAAAAACTAGCGCGGATAGTCAAGCGAACAGTAGGCACCGTAAGTAAAATGTGTGAATCACTGTGATTTATACTGTGTGTTATAAAGGTTTTTAAGTTTAAAGTGACTGTGGAAATTCTGTGTATTACTAAAAGTTGTATCGAGAAAGATATAAACTGGTTTAGTCAAGAAAGGACTTGTATCGCTGAAGTTCCTCAGAAATTAACAAACAAGCAGAAACATAACAAATTGGTGTCAGAGAGTGGGACAGAAAAAAAAAAAAGAAGATGGAAACAAGAAGTGGCAAATCAAACTACGGCTTAGCAGATTTGATGGCAGCAATACAAGAACAGCAAAAGAGACAAGAAGAACGAGAAAAGAAACAAGAAGAGAGATTACAGCAGTTGTTGGTGGAAGAAGAAAAGAAACAAGAAGAGAGATTACGGCAGTTGTTGGAGGAAAAAGAAAAGAAACAAAAAGAATGAGAAAAAACAAGAAGAGAGACTACAGCAATAGCAAGAAAACCATCACTAGTGGCAACTGGAACAAGAAAAGAAACAAGAAGAAAGTCTACAACAGTTGCGAGAAAGACAACATACAGAAATGGAAAAGCTAAGTAAATTTCAAAGTGAATTAAATACATTATAGGACAATTTACTGTCTTTTACTTAAGGAGGATATATTAACCATTGGCCTAATCAGACCCTGCAGCTAAACCCTAATGCAGACATCTTCAGTACTGCGAGAATTCACACTCCAAACATGAGTATCAGCAATAGGGGTGATCTAGTACGAAGAAAGCCACAGGAATTCGATGGGAAGACACCATGGGAAACATATAGAGCTCACTTTGAACTACTGGTAGAAATTAATTGATGGACTGAGGAGCAGAAAGCAGTGCACCTGGCAATGAGCCTGAAGGCACAACCACTGGAAATACTTGGACATTTGTCAGCAGATGACAGGCACAAGTCTAGAGCACTGGTAGCTGCTGTAGAACTCGGGTATGGGACTCAAAATCAGTCTTAAAGTCTACGGGGCTAGGTTTACGACTAGAGTCCATGCTAAAGGGGAGAGCCTGCAAGAGCTG